GTTGTCAGTTGCCCCATCGGGTTCACCAGGGGTCCAATGTTGCCCCTGCTTTTCCTCCGGCTCCCCACATATCTGAAAAAGGACTTTTTATTGTCCTTGATGCTCAAAGCTAGTTGGAGTTCAGTTGCAGCCTTGGCTTTCCTGGTATTCTCCCTACAGGACCGGGCCAGTGCAGAATAATCCTCCTTGGAGGTGACTCCCATCCTTCATCTTTTGTAGGCCTTTCTTTTTAGCCTCAGGAGGTCTGCTAGGTCCCTGGAGAGCCAGGGGGGCTGCTGTGCCCTCTTGCTGCCTTTCCTACGAGATGATATTTTAAAATTATTTTTGATGTAATGTGTGTAAGACATCTAAGTAAATATGTATGAAAATAGTGTAGCTCTATAAAGTTCTCTCACTACATATATCAACCGTCAATATTGCAGAAGACAACCAGCTAAAGTTTTACTTCAGCTTCTGATTACCACAATATCATAGATACGGTTACATAAAGTAGCCAGCCGTTCCTCTGTGCAGGGGGGCATTTTGGTGTTACTACACAAACAGAATTTGGCTGTAAAGCAGATGGGCATTGGCTCAAGGAGCTCATCTCAGTGAAAACAGATCCACAATATGTAAATTTGATCTAGGGGCTCTTACTCCATCCCTCTCTCCATTCAGACTAGAGTGGTTGTTAGCTGTATTAGTTAATGCCAGGCAGAAGGCAAGAGAGGTTTTTTGAGTGGGCAGCGGTTCTCCACCAGGGTTACACAAGACGCAGTCAGGTGTACAATAAAGGTGCTCCCACTATGGGCACCACTGCTGCAACCGGGTGAAATTGTCCAGCACATCAATGTGTCTGGGAGGAGCATGTAGGTTTGGACTGGGAAGGACTGCAATAGGAGCAGATTCTCCTGCCTGCATTAGATTTATTACTTTCATCTGGCTGTGGTAGAGGCAACACCCTGGTTGAGAACCTGAGCTAAAGCTGCGATAAGCAAGGATCCTGGTTTTCTCAGATTTAACACCTCCCCCCCCCCAATTTTTGGTTAAAAAAAGTAGCCCCAAATACACATTTTTGTCATTAAAATGAAACACCACTATATATATATCAGTGGTGTTTGTTTCACTTTAATCATGGAAAAATGTGGATTTGGGGTTACTTTTCTTTAACCAAAAATTGGGAATTTTTTTTTTAAATCAGAGAAAAGTGGGATCTCTGGTGAGCTAAGGCAACACAAAAGTGGTTCTCAATTGTGCCACCACTAAATTTAGAAAAGTTATGGAGACGTGCCTTGAATTTAAAAAGGTTGAGCACCACTGCTTTAGAAACTAACTGGTTCAGACAGGAGGCATGGTAGGATGGCACCTTACAGGTGAACAGGTTCAGAGAAGCATAAGCTTTTGTAGGTGACACCTTGCTTTGTCAGATCCTTATGTTCCTCTGAACCATATAGCCTTGAACATGCCACCTTGCCCTGCCTTCTGATTTCTGACTAAGATGGCTAGTTATGTCTTTAACTGTTGGAGTGATGTAATAGTGGTGGTACAGGAAATCCTAGGACCATCCCTGCCTTGTAAGAGCCAAAGATTTTTATGGATGATATCTTTTATTGGACCAACTGCACATTTGGGAAAGACTTGGACAAGCTTTTGAATGCCACACATGAAAAAGAATGCATTGTATTTGAAAGCTCATCTAAGTCTGTCCAAACCATGCAGCTCACCCTATAAAAGATATCTTTGCCTCTTATATACCTCTAACTTTGTGGTTCTCAACATTGTTTTGACTTGAGGCATCCCACATTAAACTCCAGCCACTCCTCGGAAAATTCCATTGCAAAACCCCCCCGCAAAAAAAACCCTCTGAATATTTTTAACTGTGGATTCCTGTTTGAAATCTTTGGGTTTAGCTTGTGAATTGTGCTTGTTCACCTAACAAGGAATGCTGCCTGGCCTCCCAAGGAAGGATTTCAAGGCACCCTGATGAAGAATGGCTGCTCCGACTGGCTCAGAGGCAGGATTTTTTTTTTTTTTGGAAATATTTTTGTATTCCAGGACAAATTAGGCAAATCAGTTCCGAATGCTCTCGACTGAGCAACGCTCAATCATTCAAACACCATATGTGGCACTACAACAGGCAAGTTTCCTCCAGCCCACACTTTTCAGCCTGGGGCTTCAGATACTCCCAAATCCATCGGTGGGCATCCTACGTGCAGGCGCAAACCCAGAGTTTTGGATTTCAAATGCCCCGGAGTCTCACTTGCCCTTAACCAAAGGTCACAGGAGCAAGCTAGGAAGGAGTCCCCCATTTCAGTAAAGTAGGCTTGTAGCTGAGATCCTCCCACTGGGCACTGACCAGGGGGGAGCTAATTACAAGACTCACAAGGCGCCCTGTCTGCAGCGCATTGGACCGGTGCACCCTCCACTACACATTACCATTTAAAGCCATCTTGGTTGGGGTAACGCACCAGTGCAGGGACTACACTTGATCTTAGTCCACACGAGACCTTAGAGGCAACCACCTTCTCCCTCAAGGGCTGTCAACGGAAAGCAGGGATTGAAGGGAATTGAAATGCAAAGGCCTAGGGAGGGGGAAGGGGAAGCCCCCTCAGAGGCGTGAAGAAGGTGGTTTGAATAGATCCAGAAGGCAGATTGAGCGCCACGGGTTGCAAAAGCCAGGCCAGGTACTACGGGAACAGGGGCTGTGCGAGCAGGGCTCGAATTACACTTGCATTCTTGTGGGGTCTGAAACAAATAAATCAAATCGGTTCATTGATGGAGCCCCTGAGAAGGGGCAATCCGATTGGAAACCCCGCCAGGTTATGATTCTCAAATCCTACAGGGGGGGTCTCGTCTCTTATGGCGGGGGCTCAGCTCCCCCTTAATTCTTACTCTGACCGGGAGCACCAAAGCTGCGCCCTTTGCTCACCTTCCCCCGCGGCCCTAGAGGCAAAACCCGCCGCCTGCAGCAGGGTGCGGGACTGGACTCCGGCTCGCCCTTCCCAGCGGGAACTTCCCCGGTGCGCTCCCCCCGCGCCTGCGCACAAGCCACCCAAACGTTCCGAGCCCCCGGGATACAGGTGGGGGTGTGGGTTGGACCTGAGCATGCGCGGTGGAAGGGGCGGGGCTCCCGGAAGCGCCGCTGCCCCATTGGCCCGGGCGGGTGGGCGGGGTGTGCGCTGCGCTGCAGGAGGCCGCCCTGGCGCGGGGTGCAGCGCACCGAAACAGGCGTCGTCGTCGCCGGTCTTCGCTCCTCGCCCGTTGTCGCCCATGGCTGCCGAGCCCCAGCCCCAGGGGCTGACCCGCAAGCCCGTCCTGCTGGGCGCGGTGGAGGAATCACACGACGTGGTGAACATGGCAGCGATCGTGCCCAAGGAGGACGGCGTCATCAGCGTCTCCGAGGACAGGTACCGGCGCCGGGCGTGTGCGGGTCCTGGCGCTACCCCGGCCCGGCCCGTGGTGCGGTGCGAGAGCAGAGGCTGCGCGGGATGGGCCCGCACGCTGCTTGGCTCCGGGTGCTGTAGCCCGGCCCGGCCGGGCCCGGCCCGCGGGAGAAAGAAGCGTTTCTTCGTGGCTCCTCTCGGAGCAGTTGCACATCAGCCCCGATCCCGACCCTGCCTCGGCTGGCGCAGTTGCTGAAGCCTCTGCAGCCTTGTTATGCCCGGCCGGGTGCAGGTGGTTGGGGGGAACTCAGGTCCTCTACCCCCCTCCCCCCACAGTGGGTGGGGAGAGACCTGATAAAAGCAGGAGTCAGCCTGCAAGAGTTAAGGCTGAAAGCCCAGAGGAGGGCACTGAGAATGATGGGTGGTTTGGAGGGGCTTCCACAAGAGGACTGCAGAGGGAGGCCCACTCTGTTTAGCAGAGCTGCTTGAAAGGGGGGTGCGGTGAGGGTTTCCAAAATACTCACTGGGGAGGAGAAAGTAAAGAGGAATTGACTGTTGGCTCTCTTGCGCAAGATGAGAGCTAGGGGTCACCAAATGAAACAAGCAGGTAATAAGTTTAAAAACTAACAAAAATAAGTTATTTTTCATACAGCGTGTCATTAAAGGGTGGCATTCGTTGCCACGAGTTGTGGTGGCAACTGATGGTGTAGCCAGATTCAAAAAGGGATTGCACGAATTCTTGGTGGAAAGGGATATCCATAGCTATTGAGCATGGGAGTTGAGGAACTGAATCGGAGCTTGTTAGACTTCTAATGCTGGAGGCTGCAAGTGAGAGAGGGACAGCAGGGCAAAAAAACCCAACCCTGGTCATACCCAGTTCTCTCTCTCTCTTCCTTCATCCACTCTCTACCACTCTGTAACCCAGGGGAGTTAGGGACAAGACCTCTGAATCGGAACTTCCTAGACCTGAAATGCTGGAGGCTGCAAGTGGGAGAGGAACAGAGGGGAGGGGGACCTTGGTCATACCCAGGGGAACAGATAGCTGTATTGGTCTACAAGCAAAAGGAATCAGAACTCTGGGTTGAGGTGATATCTTTTATTAGACCAATTAGATATCTGCAAAAAAAAAAAAAAAGTCTTTATTTGCAAGCTTTTAGGCACACTCAAAAGGGATCACCTCAACCCAGAGCTCTGGTTCCTTGTCATAGCAGGTCACTCTCCCTTGCACTACCTGCAGTGTGACACAAGCTACTGGGCAAGATGGACCTATGGTCCGATCCAGCAAATGGCAGTTATGCTTTTGTTTTATTTCAGTTGGTACATGCCCTCCTGCACGTAAAAAAAAAAATATATATATATATATATTTTTTTTAAAAGGCATCTTGCTAAAGATGTGCTGTCCCTTAAAATGAAAGTTATCTTAGTCTGAATTGGAGACCATGAAATGGCCCTTCCATGTAGCATCGCTCAAGTAGAAATCATGCAGTGTATGTGCCTAAGAAAGATGCTTCAGTGTTGCCAAGTGAGTATGCCTTTGAGACTGATCAGATACTTTCTGCAGAGCTTATTAGCTCAGTGTTGTCACTAAAGAGTGTCTGCTCGTATCTGGGTACTCCAGTCTGCAAACTAGCGCTTTTATTTTGCGTCTTAGTCCTTATTATAATCATAGTTTCTGGCTCCATGTTAGATGTACAAACCATGCAAAATGTAATATACATTCATTTAAGTGCTGGGCTATAGTAAGCCTTAGTGTCTGGTATGAAGAAAAAAGCCCCTTACTTATAGTCGGGTGACAGATGGAACTGATAGTGACAGAAAATGTCATATTTGCTTTGAGAAGCATTATGGCCAAAATCTGCTGTCATCCAAGTTGAGTACAGTTGGGTATACAGGCTTGGTCCATGGTAATTGGCTGGAATGATTAAACTTGATCTGTAAGAAAGTACTTCTCAAACATTAATTCCATTAATTTTTAATAGAAAGAAATGTAATATACTCTCCCCTTAACAAGGAGGATGAAGCATCTACTTTTTTTTCTTGTATTACTGCTTAACCTATGCAAAGCATGAAGAATAGTAACCTGACCCTGTGGGGTAGTTTCTATGCAGGGAAGTAGTCAGCATGAGTTCTCCCTTAGCTGCACTAATAATTGAGACTGTGGCCTGAATGAGCCCATAGCAAAACAGAAATCTGCAGATTCTTGTCAAGAAATCTTGTACTTTAATTGGTATAGCAAAAGATAATGGAGCCTGCCTATTGCTAGTGAGATGTTGGCAATACAGACTGGATTTAGGGAAATTAGACATGACTTAATTTGGAAACCTCCAGCTTCTAACTATCTTTTGTTTCAAGCCACTAAGAAAACCGGTTCACAATCCTTAAGTGTTTGCGTCTTTGAAATCCTTCAGGCAATTTTCCTGCGGTTAGTACTTTAGATAGAAGAGGATTTATATAAGTAGGCACTGATGTCTGGATTTGTAGCGGCAATAGTGTTTTGTTTCAGTAGTTAACCTCTTCCCAACAAAAGTGTTTTGAATTTTATTTGGAGGGAATAGTAAATTGGACGGAGAACTTGAAGCCTTCTGGCTATTCTAAAGCAAGAGCATGGCTTGGGAAAGCTCCGAGTGATATGACTTTTTTCATAGATGCTAGGGTCAGAAAGGACCTCAACAGATGCTCGAGTCCGACCCCCACCGCCAGATGCCTATCCTATTTTTTTTGCTTTTAAAAACACCTCTGCACTACCTTTTATTATCTTAGTCCACTGACAGGTACAGCCTAATTTAAAGCCATGACAAGATCTAATCCCAACAGTCGCAATTCCTGTCATGCCATATGTGCATGGCAAGATAGGGGTCCAATCCCAAAATCCCACAACTCCACCCTACTTGCCAGTGCAGGGGGAGCCCAGAATCATGATCTTGGGCTCCCCTTGCACCAGCAAGTTGAAAGCCAAGTACCCGACAATCAGCTAATTGTTGGCTTGCTTTGGGGAACTATGCCTAGTCTTGAACTGGCCCCAGTGTGGTTCCTACCAGCCAATGATTAGACCACACTGGGGCTCAAACCAGCCCTGGTGCAGAACCAGAGCCCTCTGACCATCAGCTGATAGCCAGCTGGATCTGGGACTACACCAGGGCTGGGTTGAGCCTGATACAGTCCTGTATCCATCTGACAATTGGTGATTTCTTACAGGTGGTGACCACACCAGGGCCAGCTGGAAACCCCAGTGTGGGCCACCCTGCCACACATTTAACTTAAAGCTCAGTGGAAACCAGCCACAAAATTATTACACATCTTGAGTACATTTCTGTGTACAAAATTATTATGTACTTCCTGGGTTGGTTTCTTCATTTGTGTTTTGCACCATTCATTGTATGAAAGTGTAGTTGGGTTACTAGTTAAGATGTGATTAACTGGCCAAGTGCATCTTAAGTTTAGCATCTGCAAGAAACCTTATTAAGGTTCATTCTGTATTGGCCTCTAAATAAGGAGATTTCTTAAATATCTTTGACGGTGATTTAAAAAAACAAAGCCAAAAAAAAAGCCTTATATTGGATGTGGAGAGCCATCCGTCTAATGAATGATGTGTAATCAGCTGATGTGACAAATCTGTTCTATGTATTGCTTATGTGAGATGCTTTGCAACTTTTGTGAAATTAATTAAAGCAGGGGTTGGCAACCTATGGCCCATGGGCTGGATCTGGCTTGCAGAGCCTTTGGATCCAGCCCATAGAATAGTGTCTTCAATAGTGTTCAGTGGCTGGGGACTCGCATTGTGCCACATTAGTCAGCCACTTGGCCCCTCTGGCAGAGTGGGGGTGGGGATTGGGATCTCATCTACTATGCCACAGTTGAGTGGCACAGGCTCCAGTAGTGGGGAGAAGGACCCAGCCACCATCAGTGTTAATGCCTGCCTGCCTCTGAATAGATCAGGGTCATTCTGCCCCACCCTGAGTTGCTTGCGTTCAAGTGTAGAATAGCGATCTGTGGTCAGTGGGTTTCAGTGTAGTACCCATATGTGAGGCACAAAGGAACAAATGTCCAACTCTTCTTTACCTGAAGTAGTGAATACACCTGTTCAGGCAGGTGAAAGTGGTAGGAGTGGCAGTTAGTTATCCAGGAATGTTTTAATGCATCCAAGTGAAGATCTAAGAACAAGATTACAGTACAAGCTTTTTTCTGCATTGCCCTGCCAGGCAACAAGCTGCTGGATCTAACAGCCACCTAAGTCTAAACACGTAAAAGCCTGAGTCAGGCATGGCTTGGTTGGTGAGATGCCAGAGCTTTGACCCTTAAAGCGAAATGATTGGCACTGGATGGTATGATGGTAAAGCTGGTGACTGGTACCTTGGAATCTGCTTCCCTGGTTTAGAAAAATAGGGCTGGAATGGGCCTTGGGAGGTTGTGTGATTTGTTTCCTTACTTGGGACAGGATCATCCATGTCAATATCACCTTGTCCAATTGCCTGTTCTGTTTCCAAAGATGAAGATTCTACAGCTTCCGTAGGTAACCTGTTCTGGGTAATTTCTCTTGTTAAACATCTTCAACTGCTGTTAGCATAGTGGTGGGACACATTTAGAAATTGGCTAGTATAGACAACTTGGCTGATTTTCATAATTGTGAACTCTCTGAACTGTGCTTCGTATGAAAGGAAGTCCTATGCCTTAAGCTCCCACATCTGATGTTGAAAAATGTAGATCGTACAGTCGAGAATTACATCCCCCTTGACTGTTATCAGAGTGCAGCTGAACAGATGCTTTTGTCTGTAACTGAATTATCAACCCTCTGCATATCCTGTCTTTTTGGTGTATGTATTTAAAGTAGTGCTGGAACCCAAAAGAATACTGTTAAGGACATTCCTTTGTAGGAAGAAATTGAGATTTCCATACCTTATTTCACCAGAGTAATTTGGGGCTGTTTTTAGCATTCTTCTAAAAGCCTTTTTGAAGTACTAAAATTTTGGCCTTCCAGCTCTTAAATATTTAGAATATCTTATCAGGAAATCAGACATACAGTGACA